CACACACGCACGCCCGCACGCCCGCGCGCGCGCACGCCCGCCCGCCCGCGCGCGCGCACGCACGCACGCACGCACGCACGCACGCACGCACGCACGCACATACGCGCACACACACACACACACACACACACACACACACGCACACACACGCACGTACGCACGCACGCACGCACCCGCGCACGCTCGCACGCACGCACGCACGCACGCACGCACGCACGCACCCACACACACACACACACACGCACACGCACACAAACACACACTTACAAACACACACACACACACGCACCGACACATTTCATCGTACAGATGAGGGCGAAAACCTAGAAAATATATGGAAATACAGGGAATTCTAAGATTTGTGTGTATTTATGTTGTGTGTCCCAGGTCCCCATTGATGCTCAGGAGGCGCCAGGGCCTCTGAGAAGCCCTGCCACTTTCTGAGAAGGCCTGCCCTCTCTCGCTTCCCCCGCCCCCCTGGGCTTGCCGCCAAGAGGTGCGCAAGAACCACTAGAGAGAAGCCCCAACCAGCGCATGGTTTGAACTCTTTGGCAGGTGCCATGCGTGGGCGCAGTTGCGCCGGAGGGCCCGAAGAGGCAATACAGACTGACTCATGGCATCGATGGTGAGCTCGATCGTGGGATCCCGAAATCGGCCCGGAACCGGGATCCCAGAGCCGGGATCCCTGGAACCCAGAACCGGGATCCCGGGAACCCAGAACCGAGATCCCGGGAGCCCAGCCGGCTACCGAGCTCGGCCCGGGACGCTCGCCACACTTTTCGACATCCGCTGTAGGTCAGGAGGGAAAAAAGTCCACAGACACCATCAATCGTCAATTCCCAGAAAATATGCGAAAATATGGGAATTGGGGGGGAAGGCGAACACGTAGAAAATATGGGAAAATATGGGGAATCCTTTTCTTTGTGTCTATTGATTTGTGTGTCCCAGGGCCCCTTCAATAGGATCCCCTGCAAGCACTGCTTGGGGAGCACCGTGGCAGCCAAGGGCGCCCCCTCGGCAGCTGCCGAGCCCGTACGCGCGCGCCCGCGCGCGGCGGCGGCTGGGGGCCGCTGCTGCGCCCGCGCACCGCTGCCGGGCGCGCTGGGGGGAAGGCGCCGCGGCCAGGGGTGGAGCGAGGGCGACGGGCTTTCGGGAGCGGCAAAGAGGGGGGTGATGACTTAGGGGGGGGGATGTCATGGCGCGGGCCACGGTGTTGCCTCAGATTTCGTGGCGCCTCCTCTTATTTCACTGCGTCCCAGGCCCCCCCGCTGGGCCGCGCACGTGCCGCCGGTCATGAGTTGCACCCTCCCCTCTTGGACACCCCCCTCTTGGCCGCTCCCGAGGCTTGGTGCCCACGAAGCGGGGGTCAGCGCCAGCGCAAGTCGGGTAGCGACAGGTCTGGGGCTTCGAGGTTCGGGGCCTGCGGGCGTGTTCGTCGGTCTGTGGGCCTCCCGGTGGGGAACCGAGTGGGGTCGGAGGGTCGTGCCGCATCGCCGATGCATCGCCGATGCAGCTCGATGTCAAGACCGTGTTGCCCCACGCCGACGTCACCGATGCATCGCCGACGTCGCCGATGCATCGGCGATGCATTGGCGATGCGGCGCGATCTTTCGACCCCATCCAGTCGGACCCCGTCTACGACGCTTCTAGCAACGGGGGTCAGCGATAACGAGGGTCAGGCAGCGACAGGTCCTGGGCTTCGAGGTTGGAGGCTTTCGGACGTTTTCGTTGGTCCTCGGCGGTTTTCCAGCTGCAAGGTGCTTTACATCAGCTTCGCCTCGCCGCGAGAGCATCCAGAGACTGCCCCCCGAGACCCGAGGGAGGACCCGGAAACGGGACGACGAGATGCCCTGGAACGAGGATCGGGCCGGGCGAAAGGGGGGGATTGGGAAAGGGGGGGTTACGAAATCTGCTGCATGCAGCTGGTTTCGGCCTCACCGAGGGTCCCATTCCTCGATACATAGCCGCCTCCGGCGCCGGGAGGCGCCGGGAAAATCAGCTACGTGAGCTGATTCTCAAACCCCCCCTTTGCTATCCCCCCCTTTCGCCCGACCCGAGAGGACGGTGGACTTGGGCGGAGGTGTCCTTCGGAGTGCGCCGTAGCCCAACGCGGGGCTGTCGGCAGCACGATCAGCATCAGCGCCGCCATTGCCGCACAGTCAATTCGGTAGCAAGTCATGGGAGCCTGGTGTACCCTTTCAATTCCGTCTTTAGCGTCGGTTAGCGTCGATTAGCGTCTGGGGGTCGATGAGAGAACGCCGATTTAGCGTCGATTTAGCGTCGGTTCGCGTCGATTTAGCGTCGATTAGCGTCGACTAGAGTCGATTAGCGTCGATTCGCAAGAGCCGACCAGATGGTATGGGAGGCTCCCATGAGTTGCCACCGAACAGTCCCGAACAGTCAACGCGCATAGTAATGACGAGCACCTTTTCTATGGTATCCGTGCGTCCTTGCCTCTTCGGGCCGTCCTTTGCCGCTTCCACTTGCCAGCTTCTCAGGGCACCCTTGGGGTTTGGTCGCCCGCCGCCCCCCACAATCCCAACTTCGGTCTCCAAGGGTTTTGCGTCCTTACCAGCCGTCCAGATTACACGCTCTCACTGTACGCACTCTTGGTCGTCGCCGCTCCTCTTCGTCACCACTGCTCGCTTCATCATATCTTCGGCGCCTCGTGTCTCGGTGCGATCAACACACGTGTACGTACGGTCATCTAGGCCTCCCAGACGGGGTCGGAGTAGATGGGGTCGAAGGATCGCGCCGCATCGGCGATGCATCGCCGATGCGGCTCGATGCGGAGCCCGATTTGCCTCCACGTCGGCGTCGCCGATGCATCGCCGATGTCGGCGATGCATCGCCGGTGGATCGCCGGTGCATCTTTGTCGGGGCCTAGAGACGGGGGTCAGTGCAAACGGGTGTCAGCCAGGGCACCGGATCCTGCAGGATCCTGCGAAGACCCCCTATGGCTGACCCGGGTCAGCGAGCCGCTCGTGCCCGCGAGGCGGCCGCGCATACTGGCCGACCCGGGTTTGCGGAGACCTGCGCTGCAGTTTTTTCCCCTGGGCTTCGGCGCACCCGTCGCACGTCTCGCAACCCCAGAGGGAGCTCTGGAGCTCCGCCGAGGCCCCCCGGGAGGAGGCGGGGGGGGCCCGGGGCGCGTGCGGTCCCCAGCGGCACGCCGTTCCCGCGTGCAGCCGCTCGCGTGCAGCCGCCCCGCCCGCTTTAAGGGGGCACTGCTCCCGCGTGCCGCGGCCCCATGGGGAGCTCCCGAGCTTCGCGTGGCGTGGGCGCCCCTCGTCGGCGAGGAGGGGCCGACCCACGAATACACACACGCACGCACAGACACACACACAGAGACAGACACAGAGACAGAGACAGAGAGAGAGAGAGAGAGAGAGACAGAGACAGACACTGACACACACACACACACACACAGACGCAGGCGCAGACACAGACACAGACGCAGACACAGACGCAGACACAGACCCACACAGACCCACACACACACACACACACACACACACCACACACACACACACACACACACACACACTGTTGTTCGGCAGCGCCCGGCACCAGCATACACAATTTTTTGGCGGTCGCGGCCGACGCGCGCAGCGTCGTGGCGGAGCGAGATCGGAAAAGACGCACGCACACGCACAAATACACACGCACGCACGCACGCACGCACGCACGCACGCACGCACCCACGCACGCACACACAACACACACACACACATATTGGTGGCGGTCGCGGCCTCGCGCGCAGCGACGAGGTCAAGTGCAGCGGCTGGGGCCTCCCGCGCGCTGGGCTCAGAGGGGGCGGGGCCCTATGCCACTCGGGTTTGAATGGCGGGGAGGAAAAGATGAGCTGACCGCCGACAAGTGGGGGGGGGGGCTCCCGCACGGAGGGCCTACAGCAGGGGACGCGACAGGCGGCACGACACGCGTCCTCCTCCTCCTCCTCCTCCTCCTCCTCCTCCTCCTCCTCCTCCTCCTCCTCCTCCTCCTCTTTCTCCTCCTCCTCCTCCCCCTCCTCCTCCTCCTCCTCCTCCTCCTCATATTTCTCCTCCTCCTCGTCCTCCTCCTGCTGCGATTCGCCAGCATGCGCCTCGTCAGCATGCGCTGCGATTCGCTGCCTTAGCTGCGCGCCGCATCGCGCAGCTGCCCAAAGTGCTCGATTAGGTCGGCACGTACTGGGGCGCCGGCGGCCGCGCCGTTTCGCCCTCTGTCCGCGAGTCAAAAAAAAACACAATGTACAGTCGAGGACGAAGGACGGCGGACGCAGGTGGAGATGGCAGAGTGCAATGGAAAGCGCTCCGCGGCTTGACTGGGGGGCTCCCATGGGGCCGCGAGAGGCCGCGGGAGGGTCGCCTCTTCGGAGGCGACGCCGCGTCGGAGCCCCCACCCGGAGCGGGAGGGGGCTCCCCCCCAGGCTGGGTCGCGGAGGACGCTGGCGGGAAGGGAGCGACACACAAACAAACACAAGCACAAACACAATCACAAGCACATGCGCACGCACACGCACAAAAACACACACACACACACGCACACCTACACACACGCGCACACGAACACAAAGACGATGACAAAGCCACGCTCACACTTACACACGCGCACACACAAACACAAACGCACAGACACACACCTACACACGCGCACACGCACGCACACGCACACGCACACGCACACGCACACTTTTTGTGTGCGTCGACGGCGAGGCAGCGTGACTGCGCTCGCGAAAGGAGCGTGGTGTGGTGCACGGAGCGCGAATTGGGCCACCAACGCGCATACGCATACGCACGCGCACATGCGCACGCACATATATGCATACACATACACACGCGCACGCTCCCACATCCACGCACGCACACACTTATACACACGCGCACACACACATGTTTGGCTGTCGCGGCCTCGCCCGCGGCGACGAGGTGGAAGAAACACGTCCGAGCGAACTTGCAACGCGCGCGGCTGGCCCTTCAGAAGACTCACGTACTTTTTGTCTTGGCGGCTGGACAAAGGGCGACTGATCAGGCGGAAACGCGAATGGGGACACGCTGTATGCAACTCAGGGCCGCGATGGACGGAAGGAGGGGGGGCCCCGGCGCAACAGGAAGAGAGGAAGCCGGGTCACTCAGAGCTGCAGGCTGCGGCTGGGAGAGCGCCGAGGGGGGAGCAGCGCCGAAACAGGTCAGCACTGGGCAGCACTGAGCTGAAGTTGGGTGAGGCAGCCTGAAACTGCAGCTGGGAAAAAAACGAATCAGAGCCCAGCCCAGTGGACCGAGCACAGTCGAGGGCTGGGCCAATGCGCCGAGACCTGCGGGCCTGCGAGGCGCGTACGAAGAGATGGAAGGCGATTGCCATGAGTGAACAGCCCCACCCGCGGACGCCGCGACGCAAGCAGGCACAAACAAGGGCCGGAACTGAGTAGCACTGAGCTGGACAGGGCTGAGTCTGGGGCCGAGCGGCGCTGAACAGTAGCTGAGGATGGAAAGCTACGAGGCGGTGCCCAGCCCAGTGGACCAAGGCACGGTCCAATGATGAGCTGAAGCGCCGAGACTTGTGGGCCTGCGGGGCGTGGGCAGGGAGGGGCGGAAGGCAGGCAGTGGCACCGTGCAGCCCTGAGCGGTACAGAGCAGCACGTGAGCGGCCCACGAAGGGCGGCGGTAGAGGGAGAAAGACGAGCGCCCAGAGCGCCGAACCGCGCCAACGGGAAGGCACCCCGCAATCGGCAACTGTGGGGAGCGCCGAAACCACGCAGACCAAAGAACCCAGCCGCGGAAGGACGCACGCCCGGCGGGGCGCGATGCCGCGGCGCGAGGGCAAGGAAGGAGCAGGGCAACGCCAAGCGGGGGAGCGGTGGGCCCAGAGCAGGCAGAACGAAAAAGGGCGACGGCATCGAACGCCAGCTGGCGGCGGGCAGGAGGGCCGCGCCCCGTGGGGGAGCGGCGGGCCAAGTGGGCGAACAGGTGGGCCCTGAGGCAGAGACCCCACGTGGCAGCAACCGATATCAGCGAGGTGCCATGGGGGCAGCAGCGGCCAGACTGGTAGCCGGTGCTGGGGAGATTGCCAGAAACCTGGCGGATGGGGAGGGCACGTAGCGAGTGTCATCTGGCCAGCGATGCACGGCAAGGGCCAGCTGGGTGCCACTGGCAGCACGTGGGAAAAACCTGTTGAAAACCGGCGCCCCAGGAGGCAAAGAGGCGGCGGCGGGGCAGGGGCAGGGCCCCCCACGGCGAGCGGGAGGGACGACCCGGGGTCACGAGCGGGCGGCAAGACTTGCCTGCTGTGACGGCCCCACCCGGAAAGGGCGGCAATGGTGGGAGCTGGCCAAGCGCCGGCAAGAGCGCTTGCAGGCCCCACGCACGGGCGTGAGAGTGCCAGCCGGCGTGGAATCGACGCCGGCGGCTGACGGAGGAGGCAAGCCCCGAGCGAGAGTTGGAGGCTTGCGGAGGGGGCGCCGAACAGGTGCACGCTGAAGAGCGGCCACAGGGGCAGGGAGGTGGGCGGCGGGCAGGCCCAAGTCGAGGGCTTGGGGCCTGCGACCCCCCCCCACCCACACACACACACACAACACACACAACACACACAACACACAACACACACACACACACGCACACACGCACACACGCACACACGCACACACGCATACACGCACACACACACACACACACACGCACACACACACACACGCACACGCACACGCACACGCACACACACACACACACACACACACCACACACACACACACACACACCGCACACACACACACATCTACGCACACACGCACACACGCACACACGCACGCACGCACGCACGCACGCACGCACGCGCGCGCGCACGCTCGCTCGCTCGCTCGCTCGCACGCATCGCACGCACGCACGCACGCACGCACGCACACACGCACGCACGCACGCACGCACGCACGCACGCACACACGCACGCACGCACGCGCACACGCACGCGCACGCGCACGCGCACACGCACACGCACACGCACACGCACACGCACACGCACACGCACACGCACACGCACACGCACACGCACACGCACACGCACACGCACACGCACACGCACACGCACACGCACACGCACACGCACACACACGCACACACGCATACACACACGCACGCACGCACTTAGGCACACAATTTTCCTCCGACACGCGTATGGTCCCGAGCGGTGAACATATCGTATCCACGTCCTCGCGGCCTGGATTCCGGGGCGCGATCCCGTGGATGCGCGGTCGCACGGATGCTTTCCGCGCGGGGCATCCGCGAAGAGACGTTCCGCATCTGCGGTGTCGCAGTGTAGAGGCTTGGCCCGCGAGGCCGCGGGTGCTGTTGCTTCTTCTCCTGCCACGAGGTGGGCTACTGTCAGCGGTGACGGAACGTCACTCTTTGTCCCCACATTTTTTCTTGAGCACCGGCAGTGTGGTACCGCAGTCGCAATCGAAAGTGAACGGGGAAGCGAGCAGAGTATCCGCCAGCCTGCCTCCAGGAATTCGTTACTGCTGTAACGGCCAGGGGCCTCGTGAGGCTTCTGGGAGGACCCCCGACCCACAAGCGCCCATCCGTGGCCGATGTTGGGAACTATTGGCATCTCGCTAATTAACGAATGCCTGCCGCCGATCTGCCCGTGAAGTCTATGGCCGGCGCAACGTCGGTGTTTCCCTTCTGGCCCCACTTTTCTCGAGGGTGCCTCGATCCGTGGTCGATCGCCTCGACGCCTTCCAGAGCAGGAGGAGGAGGAGGAGGAGGAGGAGGAGGAGGAGGAGGGAGGAGGAGGAGGAAGAGGAGGAGGAGGAAGGAGGAGGAGGAAGAGGAGGAGGAGGAGGAGGAGGAGAAGGGTTGACGACCTCGACGCTGCCATCCTGGGTTGACCTGGCATCGCTCGGACGTGTGCATGTTTTCTTCGGCGAGGACCATCGAGGAGCATCCCTGATCATCTGGCGAGAAAGCCACGCACGAAACTGAAAAACACACAGGGAATGGGCGTCCGAGGGACGGCAAGTTGACGACCTCGACGCTGCCAGATCCGTGGTCGATCGCCATCCCAATCCGGTTAACAGTTCCGCCCATTTCCGGCTCGTCCACCGCTAAATTCAAGCGGTGGCGAAGCGCCCCCGCTCGCTCATAGCCCCACCAAACAACGTCTCTAAGAACCTCTTGTGGTTCCCACGAAATGTTCTTAGAACATTTTTGGCTGGGACTGCCTTCTTTCAACACATCGGGTTTATGTTCTAAGAACATTGTTTCTGTTCTTCGATCATTTACGGGTTCTAAGAACATGTCGTGGTATGACTATAGGAATGCCGGGACGGTCGGTCCCTGTTCAATAAATCTGGTTCAATCCTGGGTACGTTCCAGATTCGATGCAATGGTTTCTCCTCCCCGCTTGACGGCCCCTACTCGCTCCTGGGGCGCCGGAGGCGGGGGCGCAGCAGGTGGAGGCACGGGGGAACGCCGACGTCCGCGTTCGGCGCGCCAGGGCCCCTGGGAGGAGGCCAGGGGTCTTTTTGGCCACGAGGTCCATCAGCCCCAGCCCCAGACATTTTTTGATTCGCGGGTCGAGAGCGCACCTCTTCCGGTCGAAGCTAAGCGGGCCGCGCGAAACTTGGATTAACATGAGGGGGAGGACTCGGGGAGAGCGCAGCATCAGAGCGAGGCCGGGGAGGCAAAGCCTCGGGATCAGGCGGTGCCGAAGTCGACGTACTTGCAAAGGCGCGCCTTGTCCAGGAACCCAGTGGCGAAGTACCGGCAGAACCCAAGCCCCAGACATGCGACGTCCTGATTTTTTCAGCTCGGGGTCCCAGGAAGTCCCGACACTCTCCCGGGAACCGGCCTTTTCATCCCGAGTCGTTCTTCGACGGCTCGCGAGGCCCGGCGCGGCCCCCCGAGGTGGCCAACATGTTGGCCAAGAGCCTGCTGTCCTGACTCTTGTCACGACGCGATCCTGCCTGGGCCAGCCACAGCCCCGTGCCTCCAGGCAAGAAAGCGGTGAGCTCCATTCAGGAGCGAAAGAACGACCTACATGTACATGGATCCGCGCCTGTTTGGAGAGTTCGCGTTGCGCGAATGCTCGTATCACGCGGCCGGTCTCGCGGGTCGAGGGGCCGCGTTCGTGCACATAGCTGGGCGCGTGCGTCCTTTTGTGGGTTCCCTATCCGTCGCGCCCACCTCGTTACCAGTATAAAGCATATCCCTATCCCTATGTTTGACATCACCTCACCTCGATGCCGATCTTGAGGATCCCCCCAGCTTTTGAAGGCCTATCCTTAAGATTGTCCTCGCTTCTTGCTCGCCCCTCTTAGGGATAGGGATACGTTTGAGGCTGGTCACCTCGGGCGGCGGTGGGCCCCCCGCGTGCGGCACGGCGCCGACGCCCGCCTTGTTCGAATGCTCGCATCACGCGGTCGGTCTGGCGGGTCGAGGGGCTGTGTTCGTGCACATAGCTGGGCGCGTGCGTCCTCTGTGGGCTCCCTATCCGTCGCGCCCACCTCGGGCGGCGGTGGGCCCCCCGCGTGCGGCACGGCGCCGGCGCCCCCCCCTTGCCCTCGGGGCCCGCGAGGCGGGCGCCAAGGGCCGCAGGGGCGGCGGCGGCCTGCCGGAGAGAGGCGCCGCGCCCTCCCCCCCCCGCCGCCCCCCGCCCCCCCTGGTGGAGCTGCTGGGCGCCACTGCTCCAGGCCCCTCGTCCTCCCCCTCCTCCTCCTCCTCCTCTTCCTCCTCCTCCTCCTCCTCCTCCTCCTCCTCCTCCGCCCCATTTTCGAGACCGCAGACCCTGCGGACATGGACGAGAACGAGCGCAAGACTTTCATGGAGTACAAGAAGGAGTTCGACACCGCCAGGCCACAGCTCGAGTCGGCGGTGCAGAAGCTCCAGGACCTCATGGAGTCCATCAAGCGCTTCGACCAGGAACGCGTCGCCAAGAGGAGGCGCCATGAGGGAGGCGATGAGGCGCCATCGGTCGAGGCAGGCCGCGGCGGCGGCGCTGGCGCCCCACCTGCCATGCCTGCGACCCCAGGTGCTGCTACCGCCCCAGCGCCCGTGCCCTCAGCCCCCGCTGGACGGCGAGTGGCCCAAGTCGCTCTCCGAAGACTCGCTGCGCCAGGCTGCCGAGACCTCCAAGACCAAGGCCGCTGGCTTGGCTGCTGGCGCTGGTGCTCCTGCTCAGCCAGAGCGGGGGTAATGAGGCCAGCCCCGTCGCCGCTCAGCCGACTGTGGAAGAGGCCCAGCTGTTCTTCTCGAACATCACTGAATGGGGCCCTCAGGCTGAGCGGGTGGTGGCGTCCACTGGCAAGCGCTATCAGCTACTGGCTTTGGTCGAGACACATATCTCGCAGGCCAAACAGCAGCATGAGTTTCTTAAGATCGACAAGGATGATTGGAGATCCTCCAAATGTTATGCAATGCCGACGGGTCGATCTGCAGAGGGCACGACGGGCGGAGAGATGGTTCTAGCTCGCAAGTCGGTGGCTGCATCCACCTTCGACGCTATGAGACACCAGAGCCGTCAGTTGTATGCAGTTGATCCGTGTCATGGCTTCGCCCCGATGACGTGGCATCGCAAGACAGGCAATTTGGTCGTGATAGCCTTTTATATCGAACCGCACCACTCGATTACGGGCCCAGTTCATGAGCGGATGGTTGCACTCACCGCTTTCTTGGACATGCTGGCGGACCCTTGGATTGTCCTAGCAGATTGGAATATGTCGCCGTGTCAACTGGCTGACAGCGGCTACCCTGAGGAGTGGGGTGGTTCCATTCTGGCGGCCCCTGGTTCTGCAACCTGTGATAAAGGCTTGGGCTCGACCATTGACTACGCGGTGGTGAAGCGCGGCTGGGAGATGTCTGCGGTCATTCGCCAGGTGCGCGATGTACCATGGGGAACGCACTGCGGCCTGGAGGTCTGCGCGGGCGAGTCCCAGCCCTGGCGCTTTCGTGCTCTGGCACCCCCTGCAGATTTGCCTTGCCCCCCCAGGCCGCAGAGACAGGCGGACCCCAACAGTGAGACATCATTGAGGAAGAAGGCAGCGCTAGACAAGAGGCGCAACCAGTTGCCTGACACGTTGCAGGAGGTGTTTGATGAGTTCACCCAGTCACAGGAGGATGCAGCAGCGCCTCCAGTCTTGGTTGCAACGGATGTTGACTATGTGGACGGCGTCGATTTTGCCATTCCCCTGGATCTCTGGAGGCGGCATCAGGACGACGTGAGGAGCACGCTGAGCACTCCCGACGAGAATGGCACGCTGGGCACCTACGACACGCAGGGGCCCCCAGAGAAGGCAGGCTCGCAGCGCCCGCCAGGGAAGACTCGCCAACTGGAGGGGGCCCCAGCTGTTTATTGTGGGACGGTCGAGGAGATCGATGGCATGCCATTAAGGGGGGCGGGGGCCCCAAGAGCCCATACGGGTGGCCACGGGCCTCAAATCGTGGGAGCGTGCTCGCCCCCCTCGGAGCTGCTCGACAACGGTGGGACTGGCGCGGATGGAGTTGTTAGAGGTACTGCCATGCACGCGACGGATCCCTCGAGAGACAAGTGGAGCACTCTCGACGTCAATGACGCGCTGAACACCTACGACACGGCTGGGCCCCCAGAGAAGGCAGGTTCGCAGCACCCGCCAGGGAGGACTCGCCTGCTGGAGGGGGCCCCATTGGTCTCTCGTGGGATGGTTCAGGAGTTGGATGGTATGTTATCAAGGGGGGCGGGGACCCCAAGAGCCCATGCGGGTGGCCACGGGCCTCAAATCGTGGGAGCGCGCTCGCCCCCCTTAGAGCTGTGCGACAAGGTCGGGGCCTGTACTGCTGGAGCTGCGGGCAGGATGAATGCGACCCAACTGAGGCCTTCTGAGCTATCTTGGGGTCTACCTCCTCACTTTCTGCATGAGAGGGACCCTGAGGCGACCGCGCTTGTTTCGACCCACTATGCCAAGTGGATGTCGACCTTCGAGGCAACGGTTTTGAATCACCATGCGGTTCCTGTAGCGAAGCAAGCCGCCTACTCTGGTAGAGCAAATGGGGTTCACTTCCAATGGAAGAAGACTGCGGTTTGCCCTGGACGTACTCATATAAAGCACGAGCCTGCAGAATGGTGGGCTATTACCTTGACACTGGTTAAGAAGATTATCGCGCTGTGCAAGCATCAGAAGCATGAGAACCTCGTAAGGTCCAACCTCGCCCTATTGCAGCTGAGGGCCACGGACTTCCACGGGAGGCGAGACTTACTGCTGCCGAAGGTTGAGGAGGATGAGGTATTCAGATGGTCTGAGCTAGTACGCGCCATCACGATCCTGGATGACGAGGAACGATCTGAACTCATATGCCGCACTGAGGCTTGGTCAGGCCGCGCTGCCGCTCATGCCTCGTGCCAGTCCAAGAAGAAGTACTCGGGTTGGCTGGCCGACATGCGGAAGGCGAAGCCCAGTGTCCTGCATCGACAGGTCAAGCCGCAGGAGCAACAGCGGCTCGAGATCTACATCAGTGGCACGACGGTTTCCAACCCGAACCTGATCATGGATGCGAAGCGGCAGGAGTGGGAGAAGGTTTGGACACCTCGCGAGACCAAGCAGCAGATTCTGGATGCTCTGGATAAGGCTCGTCGTCAGATTAGGGAGGAGCCCCCTGATGCCATCCAACTGGATCAGCTGAAGCGCACCCTGTCTATCATGCCAGGCTCCAAGGCGAAGGGTGTGGAGATGATTGGGCCGCGGGATATGCTGCGTCTACCTGAGGTGGCCCTCCAGCAGTACACTGACATGCTCAATGTCATCGAGACTCAAGGTGTCTGGCCACCTCAGGTCATGGCCACTCTGGCGGCCATGGCGCCGAAGAAAGCAGGAGGTGATAGGGTACTAGGTGTTCTCCCTCACATTGCCCGCACCTGGTGTCGTATCAGAGGAGCCGCTTCAGATATGTGGAGTGATGGGTTGCATGACTTCTGGTGTACTGCGATGAAAGGCCCATCGGCCCTCTCTGCAGCGCTGCATCGAGCTTTTCTAGACGAGCCGGCTGTCACCATGGGCTTGACAGTTGGCACCCTACTAATGGACCTGGCGAAGTTCTATGACCATGTAAAGTTGGCTAGGCTCATCGAGGTTGGATTGGATGAGGAGTTTCCTGCCATATGCCTCCTGTTGGAGGTCCAGCTCTGGCTTAGCCCCAGGATTCTGCGAGCACAGGGCTGGACCGCTGAGCCCATCTACGCTCTCCAAGGAATTGTTGCGGGCTCCCCTCGTGGTGTCATACTGGCGAGGCTGTTCTTGCCCCCCATCCTCACGCACGCCCAGCGACGGGCGGAGGGAGCTACGATGTGGACCTTTGTGGATGACACGGTGGCAAGATCGGAAGGCGCGGCAGTTTCAGTGTTACAGCGATTGACCAGGGCGGGAGCCGAATTGAAGGCTGCTCTGGATCATGCTGAGCTCCCTGTCTCCGACAAGAATGTCGTCCTCTCCAACAACAAGCAAGTGCGCGTGAAGCTGGAGCGCAATCTTCGACGCCGCGGAGTGCCTGTCTCGGCTGCGACGACGGCCACCGACTTGGGCATCGACATGGCAGCTGGTACGCGCAGAGTCCAGAAGAAAGCTGGTGAACGGGCTCGAGCGGCTACTACCAGGACCAAGCGCATAGTGAAGATGCGCAACACAGCTCAGCAGGCACGTATAGCCAAGGGCCTCTGGGCCACAGGCGCCTTGCCTCAGGGAGTCTATGGCCATCAAGTTCGAGGATTGGCTCGGCACGCACTGTTGAGATGGAGGAGGCAGGCAGCAGCAGCCGCCACGGGTCAAGCTGCGGGGCGCTGCTTAACCACGCTACTTGGCTCCACGTTCGACGGAGCGGATCCTGGAGTCCAGCTTCGGGCGCAGTCTCTGCGACAGTGGATCAGATTTTGGCAAGACCAGCCTCGCCTACATCAGCGCATTCGACGGACGTGGGCCCTACTGAAGACGAAGCTGACCATTGCAGGCCCGCAGATCTGGTCGTGTGTCACGGGCCCGACTGGGGCCGCTATTGCTACACTCTTGGAAGCTGGCTGGGATCCCAAAGCGGCAGACTGCTGGCAACGAGCGCACGACGAATATTTGGAGCAATGGACACTCCCAGATGACGGAGCAGAGTTGGTTTACCTCGACTACGAGTCCGTCCTAGACGATCTCGCGGAGGACCTCCAGCGCAGGCTCTGGGCGACGGCGGCGGCGCACGAGCACGGCGCCTCCCTCGCCTGCGGGGCCGACCTGACCATGATCAGGATAGAGCAGCGGAGGTTCCTCGCTTCGGGAAAAATATCGTCTTGGGCATTGAACAATTGCGTGGTCTCTGGGGGCCAGTGGACTCGTGAGCGCCTCCATCAGTCAGGGTATCAAGTCAATCGGTTGTGTGATCGTTGCAGCTCTGGGGCCATCGAGGATCTTCCCCATCGCATTTGGAAGTGCTCGGCGAATGAGGGCCCCGAGGTCACAGCTAGTGATCATTTGGTCCCCCAGGCCCTGGCGGGCTTGGAGCAGGACCCCGCCCTTTGGCTTAGAGGTGTGCCCAGTCTCTCCTCCACTACCCCCTCCTTTGCCAAGTGGGACGGGGGTGGGGTGGAGGTGGTGGGTCCTGATTATGAAGGTAAGCCCCGCTGGGAAGCCTGCAGAGACCCCCATGGGCGCCTCACGCTATTCGGGGACGGCTCTGGAGGAGCCTTTTTCAGATGATCCTCGGAGGCGCCGATGTGGATGGTCGGTCGCGGCGCTCGTCCCAGACGGGGCTTGTCGTTGGCGAGGCCACACTGGCCTCTTCGGCCCGCTTGAAGGCCGACGGCAAACTGTTCCGCGAGCTGAATTATTGGCGTTTTGTGTTGCGGTTGAAGAGGGCTCGGGGCCTCTGACGTTTGTGACCGACCACAAACCCCTCCTCAATGGGTGGGGCCAGGGTTGGACTCGGAGGCCCCTGGGAGCTTGGTCTCGGCGTCTCAAGAACTGGGATCTTTGGGCCAGGCTGCGCAGGGCGTTGGAGCAACAACCTGGACGCGATGTGGCCTTGGCGTGGACCCCGTCCCATCAGGATGAGACGCCAGAGGCTATCACCAACCCTTTTTTATGCATGTGGCAATATTGTCGCAGATGCATGGGCAGGCCAAGGAGCTGCCAAGAATTGGACGGCAGCGCGAGAGCCTCTCCCCTGCACTGATCTCTGGGATGCAACGGCGGCCTTGGTGCGTGCCCGAGCAAGGGCCATCATCAAGAGTATTGGCCCTGAGAAGGTATTGCGTGGGGTGAGAGTTGGCGTCACTCGTCAGGCCCCGCTGCCCACTCGTGCCCTCTGCCTGAGAGCCTCCACTCACACGTTCGAGCGTTGTGCTGCTAAGTGGCGCTGTGCCAAGTGCGAGCTTCTCGTTGATGACTGCCGTCTCGATGAGTCGGCACTCGCGCAGTGTCCTGGCCCGCCCCCCATTCAGGGGCCGCTGACCGTGGAGGGCCCACGTCGGTTCGGCGAGGCGGTGGTGGTGTAGGCTCGGGGGAGGACGCTCAGAGGCCAAAAGGCCCACCCGTCACATCAGCTTCTCGAGATCCCGCGTTGGCGGGTCTTGTTCTGCTCACATTGCGGGGCTAATGCTACGTTTCGCTTTGTCAATCTGTTGCAGGAGTGTGGCGAGCCGAGTCCCAAGGGGAAGGAGGACCTTGCTCGGATCGCCAAGGGCCTGCATCCTTCCCACAAGGGCCCCTCGGGGGCCATCGCTGAGGCGGCGCACAGGGACGCCGCCCAAGAGGCTCGAGCTCGTGCATTCGTAAGGGGCAGTGGTTTGTCCCAGGCCCCTGGACCCCCATCCGAGGGAGATGGAGGGGCCTCGGGGTTTGTCTCGGCGGTGGACGCCTTGGAGGAGTCTGAGATCCAGGTGGTGACCATCGAGGAGCATCCCTGATCATCTGGCGAGAAAGCCACGCACGAAACTGAAAAACACACAGGGAATGGGCGTCCCAGGGACGGCAAGTTGACGACCTCGACGCTGCCAGATCCGTGGTCGATCGCCATCCCTATCCGGTTCACAGTTCCGCCCATTTCCGGCTCGTCCACCGCTAAATTCAAGCGGTGGCGAAGCGCCCCCGCTCGCTCATAGCCCCACCAAACAACGTCTCTAAGAACCTCTTGTGGTTCCCACGAAATGTTATTGGAACATTTTTGGCTGGGACTGTCTTCTTTCAACACATCGGGTTTATGTTCTAAGAACATTGTTTCTGTTCTTCGATCATTTATGGGTTCTAAGAACATGTCGTGGTATGACTATAGGAATGCCGGGACGGTCGGTCCCTGTTCAATAAATCTGGTTCAATCCTGGGTACGTTCCAGATTCGATGCAATGGTTTCTCCTCCCCGCTTAACGGCCCCTACTCGCTCCTGGGGCGCCGGAGGCGGGGGCGCAGCAGGTGGAGGCACGGGGGAACGCCGACGTCCGCGTTCGGCGCGCCAGGGCCCCTGGGAGGAGGCCAGGGGTCTTTTTGGCCACGAGGTCCATCAGCCCCAGCCCCAGACATTTTTTGATTCGCGGGTCGAGAGCGCACCTCTTCCGGTCGAAGCTAAGCGGGCCGCGCGAAACTTGGATTAACATGAGGGGGGGGACTCGGGGAGAGCGCAGCATCAGAGCGAGGCCGGGGAGGCAAAGCCTCGGGATCAGGCGGTGCCGAAGTCGACGTACTTGCAAAGGCGCGCCTTGTCCAGGAACCCAGTGGCGAAGTACCGGCAGAACCCAAGCCCCAGACATGCGACGTCCTGATTTTTTCAGCTCGGGGTCCCAGGAAGTCCCGACACTCTCCCGGGAACCAGCCTTTTCATCCCGAGTCGTTCTTCGACGGCTCGCGAGGCCCGGCGCGGCCCCCCGAGGTGGCCAACATGTTGGCCAAGAGCCTGCTGTCCTGACTCTTGTCACGACGCGATCCTGCCTGGGCCAGCCGCAGCCCCGTGTCTCCAGGCAAGAAAGCGGTGAGCTCCATTTAGGAGCGAAAGAACGACCTACATGTACATGGATCCGCGCCTGTTTGGAGAGTTCGCGTTGCGCGAATGCTCGTATCACGCGGCCGGCCTCGCGGGTCGAGGGGCCGCTTTCGTGCACATAGCTGGGCGCGTGCGTCCTTTTGTGGGTTCCCTATCCGTCGCGCCCACCTCGTTACCAGTATAAAGCATATCCCTATCCCTATGTTTGACATCACCTCACCTCGATGCCGATCTTGAGGATCCCCCCAGCTTTTGAAGGCCTATCCTTAAGATTGTCCTCGCTTCTTGCTCGCCCCTCTTAGGGATAGGGATACGTTTGAGGCTGGTCACCTCGGGCGGCGGTGGGCCCCCCGCGTGCGGCACGGCGCCGGCGCCCGCCTTGTTCGAATGCTCGCATCACGCGGTCGGTCTGGCGGGTCGAGGGGCCGTGTTCGTGCACATAGCTGGGCGCGTGCGTCCTCTGTGGGCTCCCTATCCGTCGCGCCCACCTCGGGCGGCGGTGGGCCCCCCGCGTGCGGCGCGGCGCCGGCGCCCCCCCCTTGCCCTCGTGGCCCGCGAGGCGGGCGCCAAGGGCCGCAGGGGCGGCGGCGGCCTGCCGGAGAGAGGCGCCGCGCCCTCCCCCCCCCGCCGCCCCCCGCCCCCCCTGGTGGAGCTGCTGGGCGCCACTGCTCCAGGCCCCTCGTCCTCCCCTTCCTCCTCCTCCTCCTCCTCCTCCTCCTCCTCCGCCCCATTTTCGAGACCGCAGACCCTGCGGACATGGGCGAGAACGAGCGCAAGACTTTCATGGAGTACAAGAAGGAGTTCGACACCGCCAGGCCACAGCTCGAGTCGGCGGTGCAGAAGCTCCAGGACCTCATGGAGTCCATCAAGCGCTTCGACCAGGAGCGCGTCGCCAAGAGGAGGCGCCATGAGGGAGGCGATGAGGCGCCATCGGTCGAGGCAGGCCGCGGCGGCGGCGCTGGCGCCCCACCTGCCATGCCTGCGACCCCAGGTGCTGCTACCGCCCCAGCGCCCGTGCCCCCTCAGCCCCCGCTGGACGGCGAGTGGCTCAAGTCGCTCTCCGAAGACTCGCTGCGCCAGGCTGCCGAGACCTCCAAGACCAAGGCCGCTGGCTTGGCTGCTGGCGCTGGTGCCCCTGCTCAGCCAGAGCGGGGGTAATGAGGCCAGCCCCGTCGCCGCTCAGCCGACTGTGGAAGAGGCCCAGTTGTTCTTCTCGAACATCACTGAATGGGGCCCTCAGGCTGAGCGGTGGGTGGCGCCCACTGGCAAGCGCCATCAGCTACTGGCTTTGGTCGAGACACATATCTCGCAGGCCAAACAGCAGCATGAGTTTCTTAAGATCGACAAGGATGATTGGAGATCCTCCAAATGTTATGCAATGCCGACGGGTCGATCTGCAGAGGGCACGACGGGCGGAGAGATGGTTCTAGCTCGCAAGTCGGTGGCTGCATCCACCTTCGACGCTATGAGACACCCGAGCCGTCAGTTGTATGCAGTTGATCCGTGTCATGGCTTCGCCCCGATGACGCGGCATCGCAAGACAGGCAATTTGGTCGTGATAGCCTTTTATATCGAACCGCACCACTCGATTACGGGCCCAGTTCACGAGCGGATGGTTGCACTCACCGCTTTCTTGGACATGCTGGCGGACCCTTGGATTGTCCTAGCAGATTGGAATATGTCGCCGTGTCAACTGGCTGACAGCGGCTACCCTGAGGAGTGGGGTGGCTCCATTCTGGTGGCCCCTGGTTCTGCAACCTGTGAAAAAGGCTTGGGCTCGACCATTGACTACGCGGTGGTGAAGCGCGGCTGGGAGATGTCTGTGGTCATTCGCCAGGTGCGCGATGTACCATGGGGAACGCACTGCGGCCTGGAGGTCTGCGCGGGCGAGTCCCAGCCCTGGCGCTTTCGTGCTCTGGCACTCCCTGCAGATTTGCCTTGCCCCCCCAGGCCGCAGAGACAGGCGGGCCCCAACAGTAAGACATCATTGAGGAAGAAGGCAGCGCTAGACCAGAGGCGCAACCAGTTGCCTGACACGTTGCAGGAGGTGTTTGATGAGTTCACCCAGTCACAGGAGGATGCAGCAGCGCCTCCAGTCTTGGTTGCAACGGATGTTGACTATGTGGACGGCGTCGATTTTGCCATTCCCCTGGATCTCTGGAGGCGGCATCAGGACGACGTGAGGAGCACGCTGAGCACTCCCGACGAGAATGGCACGCTGGGCACCTACGACACGCAGGGGCCCCCAGAGAAGGCAGGCTCGCAGCGCCCGCCAGGGAAGACTCGCCAACTGGAGGGGGCCCCAGCTGTCTATTGTGGGACGGTCGAGGAGATCGATGGCATGCCATTAAGGGGGGCGGGGGCCCCAAGAGCCCATACGGGTGGCCACGGGCCTCAAATCGTGGGAGCGTGCTCGCCCCCCTCGGAGCTGCTCGACAACGTTGGGACTGGCGCGGATGGAGTTGTTAGAGATACTGCCATGCACGCGACGGATCCCTCGAGAGACAAGTGGAGCACTCTCGACGTCAATGACGCGCTGAACACCTACGACACGGCTGGGCCCCCAGAGAAGGCAGGTTCGCAGCACCCGCCAGGGAGGACTCGCCTGCTGGAGGGGGCCCCATTGGTCTCTCGTGGGATGGTTCAGGAGTTGGATGGTATGTTATCAAGGGGGGCGGGGGCCCCAAGAGCCCATGCGGGTGGCCACGGGCCTCAAATCGTGGGAGCGCGCTCGCCCCCCTTAGAGCTGCACGACAAGGTCGGGGCCTGTACTGCTGGAGCTGCGGGCAGGATGAATGCGACCCAACTGAGGCCTTCTGAGCTATCTTGGGGTCTACCTCCTCACTTTCTGCATGAGAGGGGCCCTGAGGCGACCACGCTTGTTTCGACCCACTATGCCAAGTGGATGTCGACCTTCGAGGCAACGGTTTTGAATCATCATGCGGTTCCTGTAGCGAAGCAAGCCGCCTACTCTGGTAGAGCAAATGGGGTTCACTTCCAATGGAAGAAGACTGCGGCTTGCCCTGGACGTACTCATATAAAGCACGAGCCTGCAGAATGGTGGGCTATTACCTTGACACTGGTTAAGAAGATTATCGCGCTGTGCAAGCATCAGAAGCATGAGAACCTCGTAAGCTCCAACCTCGCCCTATTGCAGCTGAGGGTCACGGGCTTCCACGGGAAGCGAGACTTACTGCTGCCGAAGGTTGAGGAGGATGAGGTATTCAGATGGTCTGAGCTAGTACGCACCATCACGATCCTGGATGACGAGGAACGATCTGAACTCATATGCCGCACTGAGGCTTGGTCAGGCCGCGCTGCCGCTCATGCCTCGTGCCAGTCCAAGAAGAAGTACTCGGGTTGGCTGGCCGACATGTGGAAGGCGAAGCCTGGTGTCCTGCATCGACAGGTCAAGCCGCAGGAGCAACAGCGGCTCGAGATCTACATCAGTGGCACGACGGCTTCCAACCCGAACCTGATCATGGATGCGAAGCGGCAGGAGTGGGAGAAGGTTTGGACACCTCGCGAGACCAAGCAGCAGATTCTGGATGCTCTGGATAAGGCTCGTCGTCGGATTAGGGAGGAGCCCCCTGGTGCCATCGAACTGGAGCAGCTGAAGCGCACCCTGTCTATCATGCCAGGCTCCAAGGCGAAGGGTGTGGACATGATTGGGCCACGGGATATGCTGCGTCTACCTGAGGTGGCCCTTCAGCAGTACACTGACATGCTCAATGTCATCGAGACTCAAGGTGTCTGGCCACCTCAGGTCATGGCCACTCTGGCGGCCATGGCGCCGAAGAAAGCAGGAGGTGATAGAGTACTAGGTGTTCTCCCTCACATTGCCCGCACCTGGTGTCGTATCAGAGGAGCCGCTTCAGATATGTGGAGTGATGGATTGCATGACTTCTGGTGTACTGCGATGAAAGGCTCATCGGCCCTCTCTGCAGCGCTGCATCGAGCTTTTCTAGACGAGCCGGCTGTCACCATGGGCTTGACAGTTGGCACCCTACTAATGGACCTGGCGAAGTTCTATGACCATGTAAAGTTGGCTAGGCTCATCGAGGTTGGATTGGATGAGGAGTTTCCTGCCATATGCCTCCTGTTGGAGGTCCAGCTCTTTCTTAGCCCCAGGACTCTGCGAGCACAGGGCTGGACCGCTGAGCCCATCTACGCTCTCCAAGGAATTGTTGCGGGCTCCCCTCGTGGTGTCATACTGGCGAGGCTGTTCTTGCCCCCCATCCTCACGCACGCCCAGCGACGGGCGGAGGGAGCTACGATGTGGACCTTTGTGGATGACACGGTGGCAAGATCGGAAGGCACGGCAGTTCCAGTGTTACAGCGATTGACCAGGGCGGGAGCCGAATTGAAGGCTGCTCTGGATCATGCTGAGCTCCTTGTCTCCGACAAGACTGTCGTCCTCTCCAACAACAAGCAAGTGCGCGTGAAGCTGGAGCGCAATCTTCGACGCCGCGGAGTGCCTGTCTCGGCTACGACGACGGCCACCGACTTGGGCATCGACATGGCAGCTGGTACGCGCAGAGTCCAGAAGAAAGCTGGTGAACGGGCTCGAGCGGCTACTACCAGGACCAAGCGCATAGTGAAGATGCGCAACACAGCTCAGCAGGCACGTATAGCCAAGGGCCTCTGGGCCACAGGCGCCTTGCCTCAGGGAGTCTATGGCCATCAGTTCGAGGATTGGCTCGGCACGCGCTGTTGAGATGGAGGAGGCAGGCAGCAGCAGCCGCCACGGGTCAAGCTGCGGGGCGCTGCTTAACCACGCTACTTGGCTCCACGTTCGACGGAGCGGATCCTGGAGTCCAGCTTCGGGCGCAGTCTTTGCGACAGTGGATCAGATTTTGGCAAGACCAGCCTCGCCTACATCAGCGCATTCGACGGACGTGGGCCCTACTGAAGACGAAGTTGACCATTGCAGGCCCGAAGATCTGGTCGTATGTCACGGGCCCGACTGGGGCCGCTATTGCTACACTCTTGGAAGCTGGCTGGGATCCCAAAGCGGCTGACTGCTGGCAACGAGTTCACGACGAATATTTGGAGCAATGGACACTCCCAGATGACGGAGCAGAGTTGGTTTACCTCGACTACGAGTCCGTCCTAGACGATCTCGCGGAGGACCTCCAGCGCAGGCTCTGGGCGACGGCGGCGGCGCACGAGCACGGCGCCTCCCTCGCTTGCGGGGCCGACCTGACCATGATCAGGATAGAGCAGCGGAGGTTTCTCGCTTCGGGAAAAATATCGTCTTGGGCATTGAACAATTGCGTGGTCTCTGGGGGCCAGTGGACTCGTGAGCGCCTCCATCAGTCAGGGTATCAAGTCAATCGGTTGTGTGATCGTTGCAGCTCTGAGGCCATCGAGGATCTTCCCCATCGCATTTGGAAGTGCTCGGCGAATGGGGGCCCCGAGGTCACAGCTAGTGATCATTTGGCCCCCCAGGCCCTGGCGGGCTTGGAGCAGGATCCCGCCCTTTGGCTTAGAGGTGTGCCCAGTCTCTCCTCCACTACTCCCTCCTTTGCCAAGTGGGACGGGGGTGGGGTGGAGGTGGTGGGTCCTGATTATGAAGGTAAGCCCCGCTGGGAAGCCTGCTATTCGGGGACGGCTCTGGAGGAGCCTGTTCAGATGATCCTCGGAGGCGCCGATGTGGATGGTCGGTCGCGGCGCTCGTCCCAGACGGGGCTTGTCGTTGGCGAGGCCACACTGGCCTCTTCGGCCCGCTTGAAGGCCGACGGCAAACTGTTCCGCGAGCTGAATTATTGGCGTTTTGTGTTGCGGTTGAAGAGAGCTCGGGGCCTCTGACGTTTGTGACCGACCACAAACCCCTCCTCAATGGGTGGGGCCAGGGTTGGACTCGGAGGCCCCTGGGAGCTTGGTCTCGGCGTCTCAAGAACTGGGATCTTTGGGCCAGGCTGCGCAGGGCGTTGGAGCAACAACCTGGACGCGATGTGGCCTTGGTGTGGACCCCGTCCCATCAGGATGAGACGCCAGAGGCTATCACCAACCATTTTTTATGCATGTGGCAATATTGTCGCAGATGCATGGGCAGGCCAAGGAGCTGCCAAGAATTGGACGGCAGCGCGAGAGCCTCTCCCCTGCACTGATCTCTGGGATGCAACGGCGGCCTTGGTGCGTGCCCGAGCAAGGGCCATCGTCAAGAGTATTGGCCCTGAGAAGGTCTTGCGTGGGGTGAGAGTTGGCGTCGCTCGTCAGGCCCCGCTGTCCACTCGTGCCCTCTGCGTGAGAGCCTCCACTCACACGTTCGAGCGTTGTGCTGCTAAGTGGCGCTGTGCCAAGTGCGAGCTTCTCGTTGATGACTGCCGTCTCGATGAGTCGGCACTCGCGCAGTGTCTTGGCCCGCCCCCCATTCAGGGGCCGCTGACCGTGGAGGGCCCACGTCGGTTCGGCGAGGCGGTGGCGGTGTAGGCTCGGGGGAGGACGCTCAGAGGCCAAGAGGCCCACCCGTCACATCAGCTTCTCGAGATCCCGCGTTGGCGGGTCTTGTTCTGCTCACATTGCGGGGCTAATGCTACGTTTCGCTTTGTCAATCTGTTGCAGGAGTGTGGCGAGCCGAGTCCCAAGGGGAAGGAGGTCCCTGCTCGGATCGCCAAGGGCCTGCATCCTTCCCACAAGGGCCCCTCGGGGGCCATCGCTGAGGCGGCGCACAGGGACGCCGCCCAAGAGGCTCGAGCTCGTGCACTAGTAAGGGGCAGTGGTTTGTCCCAGGCCCCTGGACCCCCACCCGAGGGAGATGGGGGGGCCTCGGGGTTTGTCTCGGCGGTGGACGCCTTGGAGGAGTCTGAGATCCAGGTGGTGAGAGGGGAGGATTCGGTTGGCGTTTTTGAGGCTGGGGCGGCCATGCGCGATGGTGCGCCGAGCGCCTCGACGGCCTCCTCATCAAGGCCCGCGCCGCCGCCCTCCCCCTCCACCTCCTCCTCCGACTAGGCGTCTGCCCCCTTCCGCGCGACCCCTCGGTCGCTTTGCATTTAGCCCATTTAGTCCTCCTCCTCCGCCTCCTCCTCCTCCTCCTCCGCCTCCTCCTCCTCCTCCTCCTCCTCCTCCTCCCCTCCTCCTCCTCCTCCTCCGCCTCTCCCTCGTCCTTCTCCTCTCCTCCTCCTGCTTCTCCTCCTCCTCCTCCTCCTCGTCCTCCCTCCTCTTCTTCCTCTCCCTCCTCCTCCTCCTCCTCCTCCTCTCCGTCTCCTCCTCCTCCTCCTCCTCCTCCGTCTCTCCCATTTAGTCCTCCTCCTCCGCCTCCTCCTCCTCCTCCGTCTCCTCCTCCTCCTCCTCCGTCCTCCTCCTCCTCCTCTTCCTTCAAGGAGCGGTGGTTTGCTCCCGTCGCTGACGCGTAGGCCCCTCAGATGGGGTCCGAGTAGACGGGGTCGGGGGATCGCGCCGCGTCGCCGATGCATCCGCGATGCGTCTCGGTGTGGAGCCCGATTTTCCCTATGCCGACGCGCGGATGCGTCGCCGACGTCGCCGATGCATCGCCAGTGCGTCGCCGATGTATCGCCGATGCATCGCCGATGCATCGCCAACATATCGGCGATGCCGCGCGGCTCCTCCGACATTTATTTCGACCCCATCCAGGAGGCCTCTAACTGTCGGGAGCCCTTAGACGGGGGTCAATGCAAACGGGGGTCAGATCGCCCGATCTTGCAGTATCCTGCAGAATCTTGCAGGATCCTTCGCATTGACCCGGGTTTGGGTGCAGGATGTTGCAGGATCTTGCAGGATTATGTAAGTCCTGACGGACCCGGGTTTGCACTGACCCGGGTCAGCAGATTCCCAACCCTGCTGGGAGTCGAAGAAGAAACAGTTGCATAAACATATACTTTTGGCGCGCCGCGCGGATTTCTTGGATCCGCGCTGGGGCAACCTGCGGCGCCTCCAGCGCCGCCCCTGGCGCGCTTCGCTCGCCAGGGAGGTGTGTCCAGCGCAGATCCAAGAAATCCGCGCGGAACGCCAAGGGTTTATGTTTAAGCCGCGTTTTTTATTTTCCCATAGACGCCATTGCTGGGAGGTCGGATTCGCCACGTGTCGCGTGAAGTTCTCGAGATTCTCCCCGTGTCTCGTGTTCACACCGGCGCGGCCGATGCGGTTCGGTCCCATTTCCGAGCTGGGGCAACCCGACGCGGCCCACACTCCTGGTCTGCCCGATGTCCCGATGCGCGGCTGACGGATCTCGCAGTCGGGCAGCACTCGGCGGCGAACCCGGGGGAGAAGCGCGAGGGGGCAGGCCTCCTCAGCAGGCGGCGGGGCTCCTCCGGAACCCTCGCGCCCGCCGGGAAGCCGTGCCCGCCATCGGAGAGCAGGCCGTGGGAGCCTCCTGCCCAGCCCCGCCGCCTCCGACTCCCTCCTTTGGCCCTCGTCCGGGGATGTCTTGGGACCCGTAGGACGACTCTCGCGAAGGCTGGAGGCCTTGGGAACCTCCTGCCCAGCCCCGCCGCCACCGCCCCCCCCTTTGGCCCTCGTCCGGGGATGTCTTTGGACCCGATTTTTGTTTGTCCATGGGACACAGTCGGACGAATCTCGCGAAGGCTGGAGGAACTTGGGAGCCTCCTGCCCAGCCCCGCCGCCTCCGCCTCCCCCCTTTGGCCCTCGTCCGGGGATGTCTTGGGACCCGTAGGACGACTCTCGCGAAGGCAGGAGGCCTTGGAACACCTCCGCCCTGCCCCGCCGCCACCCCCCGCC